AACATTAGCCATGCAGTTCGTTGTAATTTGGGAATAGATTTGACAATAATTATCTATATAGACTGTAGAACCCTATGGAACATCCACTAAAAGTTACTGCAGTATTTCTGTACACACAAAAGTCAATCGGCAACCCATGATCATTGGTTAATGACTTTCTTCTAACGCCAAATAACTTTGTTTTTAAAAGTTGAATATTTTATATTGGTACCTATTCAATTTTATCATAAATAAATACATTATAATACCTTATTAAACCACTTTGTTAGCTGTAAGTTGTATTTATCCCTTTAATATTACAACTTTCATCCAAATCACTCCCACTCGTCGACTCCGATGACATTAGTGTCGAGATCTATTAATTTAACAATTAACAAACTAATCTAATTAAAAATTATTAGGAAAAAATCACGTTGGGTTCTATCTCTTGGTGGTCACCCTCCTCATATTATATCACCGTTATATTTGTTTCTGTATTTAATCATATATTAACCTATTACCTATTGCCCGGTGATCCCTTTTAGGACTCAAAAATTGAAAAAATGTAAAACAAAAAAAATAAATTATGGGCGTTAGTAGGTTATTGAATATATAATATGCTTATTATGCCTCGTGGCATATATTGTAAATATTCTTAAATACAAAATAAAAAAATATAAAGAATATAAGTTGTATTGATAACCTGAGCAAAATTAATCTAAAACAATTTTGCTTAATACAATAATACTCAATTTTTACACTCTAAATATTTTTAATTGGAAACAGAATATCTATAGGATATCAAAATAATTATTATTTAAAATAATATTAACTGTAATCGTAATATATTATGGTTTAATTGCAGTTTAGAGTGAATTATATTTACTGATATTTTCTGTTATAACTTATAGGCGTACTCTAAAGTTATGAATAATAACGTGCAACATAAAAATACCGTTTGGTCAATTCAAATATTTGTTTTAAAAAAAACTTCTCAATAGTAGTTTGTATTCAAAACAAGCTAAAGATGATAAACTAGAATGTTAAAATAGAAAAGTTTTCTGATTTTTTTTTTACCATGTTTTATTTTTTAGTTGATCTATCTTCTTATTTTCCTTTGAACATACGACACATATTGACTATTATTAGAATAGCACATGATAAGGGGCTCTTAAACTGTATTGTTTCGTGTTCATTGGCCGGGAATTAAACCGCAATCGCCACCAATAGAATTTCAATATTTGTATAAACCGTAATCAAATTTTTTTTCCATTGAGAATTTTAACAATATCTAAAAAATAATCAGTACTATAAACTGTTTATTTAATAATAAACATAGGTTTTATTTGTATAAATTTAAACAAAAATATAAAATTTCTTTAAATAAATCACCCATTTATTTCAAATACCTAGCAATTTAATTAATTTAAACTACATTTTCAGTTCTATTCACTACCTAGTAATAATGTTCAAAAACAAGTAATTAGAAAATATTATTGACAATACTAATTTGTACTATTAATGTATAGAATGTACTCTGCTAGATAACAGAATACAAAGTAAACACTAGATCTACTGTCTGCCCATTGTTCAGACCCTGTGTCCATAAATTACTCTAAAAGACGTGAAGTAAAGAACAAATTTTTTATTTTTTATTTTACTATGGATTGCTATTTGGTTATATTTAAGGATATTTAGAAAACGAAGAAATCGGTTGTGTGGAGTAAAACCAATACCTAAAACTTAACCGTTCAGTCTTCAGTCTAGGCTCAAAATTAAAACCCGATTCATAATTAAAGTAGATCAACGAATTTCGTTGAAATGCTTAGAGCCACTATGATAACGAAACATTGACCATTAATAGAAAAAATCCTTATTTTTGTTTTACTAAAATATAAACAATAGTTTGTCTTTAAAACTAAATAGGATAATGCGAAAATAACCCTACCCCAAACCCTTAATAAATAGGGTGTGAAACGTCGTTTTCTTAATTAAATAAGTACTTGTGAGATATCATGCTCCTTTTGTAGACTTAAGATATAGTATTAAGAAAACATAGCGCGTACCTAGAAAGCTGTTAGTCATTTGAACCTTGGCGAATTATCATCGAATAGCTCATTGACAGTTATGACTTATAAATACTCTATAAAAACAATTTATATTAGTATTCATCATTTCACTCCTGCAGAAATATTTCAGTTTAGCAATATAAATAGGCAAGAACACCCGAATGATTCATAAGTATTTAATTGTTCCACGTACGGTCATGATACTCCACTTAAATATCATTGAAATACTATTACATAAATTATGAACTGTGTCTGGATTTTTTTTTAACAAATTAGCCGTCATTGACTTGTGAATGGATGTGAATATGAATCTTCTATTGGATTTTAATTTATTGTGTTCTTTGAAACATTATTCATATAATATGGCAAACATAATAGACTCGTGTTCAGTATTATGTGATGCAGTTTAACGACCAGTAGCGTTTTTAAGATTACATCCTAGAGACCGATATTATAATCTCATATTATTTCCACAAGAGCTCATGAAGTATTTTGATTGCTCTGTCCCTACCTCAAAAATCACACGTTAGCTAGGCGCTCTTCAAATAATTTTAACAGTTTTTTTTACTTAAAAATAAAAACATATGATCTAATTAATCATACAAACAAATAATCAAATACTTACTAGATAATTACTTTATTCTTAATGTGCAAATTATATTGCTGAAATCGTATTCAAGCTAATTAGCTTATTTAAATATAAGTATTAAATAAACTAATAAGCTTGAATCGTGTCCAAAAAAAATAACACAAAAGAATGTTTGCAATTTTTCTATTTGTGAATACCTATTTCTTTTTGTTACTAATTAATCGGGCATTGTCGTTGTTGTATTACAATGGAACTGAAGATTTGCATTGTGTCTATGGCAAAATATCCAGCGATCGAATTATCATTCAATGTGATTTAAATTTCGTCTTAAACAGTAGTGACGGTGCCGTTCACGATTATCAGAATGGTCAACTAATGAAACCGTCAACCACAACACAAAACGAATCATAGCTCGAGGTCGTGCGCCTTGCATGATTATGTGACAGGAATATTAGAGCTTCCAAAATCAGTTGGCTTATTATCCATTCCTCTTCGCTCGGGTCATACTCACACTTGACCTTCTAAAAATACGTTATATTCGAGGGTCGCGTTTTAGTTTAGCCACACAATGACCCATATAACAACTTAACAGGTGTTTGTAAACTAATTTTAAACCGTTTTTCTAAAGAGCCATTCTTATTTTATCTGTAATGGGAATTTTGGAATGCCACCCTTTAATTACCAATTGGGGATTAAATGTTCAGTTTTTAATAAAAAATAGTCTTCATGTTTTGCAAATACTAAATCATACTAGTTTAGTTATAAAGAAGTTCAAAACTATAATGACATAATGATATAATGTTTTCTTATGTCGCTTAAATTAAATATAGTCGAAATAATTAATTCATGTGCAACATAACAACAATGATAAATTAATAGGGAGGGAGAGAGAGGAAACACCCATAAAAAAATGTAATTAATTAAATATAGAGCATAAGAACATAACAAACGTCTCATATAATTACTGAAGTTACTTTATGAAATTACAAATCCAAATGTTTGTGTCTTATAAAAAGGTGTATCTAAGTATACATTTTAAGTAAAAATCAATAAGGTCCTTTACTTGGCACACCACGACTGCAACAGACCTTCTATCAGAGGACACCTTAAATAAAATATTTATACCTGTATCTGTATCTGTACCTGCAAGTGTTTGAATTTGGTATACTTATTTTAAAAACTTGAGGGATATAATGTGTTTATTTTCATTTTGAAATCCCAGGGAACTAAATTTTATACTTGAAAAGCCCGCTATTATTTGGCCTCCTGAGTCGATTACACGTGCAAGTACTCAATATTAGTTCCGTCATAATGCGGTCGATCGTTTCACATAGCTAGTATAGAAAAGATTGACATCTTCATTATATTTTATTGTATTCAAAACGAATTCTTTTAAAAATACTACTTGCACGCGCGTTATCACGTTATGGAATAATAATGTACCTACTCGTGCCATTTATTATTATCATTATTTTTTTTTTTAAACTTTAACACCTTATGCTTTAATAACAATTATTACAATAACAGCTTAGCTTATTAATTGTTTTTTTGCGTGACTCAAAATTAATTTGATTTTTTCAAAAAATGAATACTATGATTATTTGGTGTAGTAATAAACAAATGCACCATTGTTAATGTATTTGTTAAAAAAAACATATCAATTTTTCGTGTTTTTTATTAATTTTAATCCATTAACATCATTAGAATTAAAAATTGTTTTTACATGTGCCCTATTTGCTTACTATTACACCACCCAAAAGAAAATTTTCAAAAATTTCCCAAAAGAAAATGCACTTTTAAATTTAATAATTAATGTTAAAATAATTTGATTTATCAAAAAATATTTTATATTTACATTAAAACGTACCTTTGGATTAGTTACAAACCCAAAGTAACAAAAACGGTTATAATTGTGTGATATAACAATATATAATTTCAATTAGAAGTAGGACTTTCAAAATCAAAATGTACAAAAAAAAAAGACAAATGCTACTATTACTAAGTCTTAAAAAAATCATTATTAGTGAACAAGTGTTTTAAAACAATACTGAACGAGAGAATTGAACAAATTCAAATTCTTCGTAGATACATAATTTTACAGTATTTCGACTCTTTTACCACGACCACAATTTGTATCATAATTATTAGTATTATAAGACTGTAAAATAGCGTAAAATAGCTAGAATAACGGATTTTATGAAAACGTTATTTTTGAAGTCGTAGCCCTAGTTGAGAGTAAACTAAACAGTTCAAATAGATTAAATAGTTCAAATTTTGAATAATTAGAATATTCTCATCGCTAGTTTAGCCAATTGTATCGTGGTTGTCGTGAAAAAAAAAATCGAATGCAATGTTTGTCTTACCTTAACTATAACTGAGATCGTAGATTTCAACAAAAAAAAAACACTTACTGAATTAATAGTAAAAATTTTAATTATAAATAATAATCAAATAATATTCACAATTTATTAACTACTCTTATTTCGAAGGAAAATATATTAAGATGATGATAAGTGAAATATTTAAAAAAATTGCTCCGTTTTAACGGCCGATGACAAGAACATGATTAAGTCTCACAAGTCACTACACCGCTCGTTGAGGTCTCCGGCGTATTTATATTGTGGTTCAGTGGACACACAGTCATCTCCGAGTAACCGACGAGTATCCCCCGATCAGTCAATGAATTATTTTCACTCAACACCGATCACAAAGATACGGTGTCCCGTGTCCACTATGAGTTAAAATCAATTTACTGTGGTTTGTCCGTGTATATGTACATAGAAGTAAACAATATGATATTTTATTTGAACTGACTGTACAGTATACACAGATACAGAATAAACCGAAAAAATAGTTGTATTTTTTAAATCTATAATTTATAACAAAAATATTATAAAAGTACTTAAACTATATAAACAGTTTAACAACTCATAAACGAGTCAAAATGCATTATTTTTTTTTTTAATTTCACTCTTTGCTGTCTGGGAATATTCATTTTTTTTTTTCGGTACTTTGGCCGAGTTAGATATTTTGTTTTTTTTTTTTATAAAATAAACGGTTCTTACCGAATTATCTTTCCCAGTATAGCACCATCTTTGACCTCTCACCTTGAATTAATATAGCGTGAAAAACGTAGAAAAAGAAGTTGAAAAAAGGCTCTTCGGTTTTTTTCTAATAATCACATAACATTAAAATTAAATATTTTCTTATTTTCTATTATTTAATAAGCAAACTTTTTAATACGGCAAATTCGAAAATAAATATTATCAAAAACAATTTAAATTATGTAAAATAACTTGTTCTCTCATAAACGACAAAAGACCAATTTTTTTTTCTTTAACTAACAATTTTTTATTAGAGTTAATCGAAGAAATTTAGTTTACATGATATTTATAATATTGTGCTTTGATTAAAAAAAGTTAAGTTAAACGATTTATTTTGTATGTTAGGTAGTCCTTCAAAAAGGACCGTTGACCTCCAGTTTACAAAATCCGGATGGGTAATGTTTAAGCCCTAGGCTAAATAAAAATGTTGAGTACCTATACAATAGTGTTCATCCGAGCCATCGGCTAACAATATAATCTTCTATACGAAAATATGTATAAAGGACAATAGAGATATATGGGAACGTTTTATTACCATAAATTGAATATTTCTTAATCGCAAAACTATATTTATGATATAAAAGGTTTTTTTTAAAAATATTAATACATTATTGGCACTATCAATACGTTACTGAAATAAGTTAACTTAAATCTCGTAAATTAAAACTAAATTACCAATAAAATCATTGAAATCACGCATATAAATGACAACCAACTATATTTTTAATACAATTTATTTTTGATTAACTTTAACAATTTAGGTTAGTGGCTTAAAATCAAACATTACTGAATTATATCACTTTATTCGTATTAAATACATCGTATTAAAATAATTAATCATTAAGTATAAATACTAATTAACATCTAGTAAACATGTTATTATAGTAGTGTTTTTTATTAGAATAATAATAAATAATTAACAAATCTTAAAGTTCATACTAAAATATTGTTTAATTTATTAAACTAATTATAATATTCATACATGATGTTTAATAATGGTTGTCGTTATAAACGACGTGACATGCATATTTTATTATATTCTAACCTTTTTTTTCATCGGTGACCATCCAGTAGTAAGCATTCACAATACTTGGGGCGTTCTTATATTCTTATCTTACCTAACTGATGTATAATAGTAATGTATTAGTTAGGTTAGGTTAGAACATAAGGACACCCCAAGTCAGAGTAGCTATTTGTACAACAATGTTGTTCGTTTCGAATGATTTTGCTAAGCAAATGCTTTTCTTTATTTTATACTGAATATTAGTAAATCGTTTTAGACTATTAAAGCTAAGTTTATAAACTAATAAAAAATAAACTAACTATATTATTCATCATAAAACAAAATAGTTCCTAAAAATAAAGCAGCTGTCACCTTTATTATAAAGAATAACTTAACATAACTAATATGCCACAATTTTAACACCAGATGTAAACTAAATAATATTATTACCATTAAAATACATACATCTTCCACACAGTCTTCTTTTGTATACTTCTGAGTTTTGTCCAAGTATTTTCAATAGCCTACTTAACGAATTACATACTTACTTAAATTAAAATATCTTTAAAATTATTTTAACTAATTGGCTCATGCAACAAGTTGTAGTATATACGTATGTCACTATAATTTGTGAACTATTTCCTACCCTGTAATATATATTATAGTTTTTGGTGTATTTAAATTTCTGTAGTACTAGTAATTTTTCAAATAATGTGTTCCAGTTTATTAGAATTTATGATTATAATAGATAAGACTTCATGGATCCCACACGAGCATGCTCAGCGGGGCCCACTATATTTTGTAAATAAATAATAATAGTTATTTCTTTATATTCTTTGCTATTAGTTTTGAAGAAAAATAATATATTATGTGTATAAATACGATCTACTGGTCAGCTCTTTGTTATAAAATAAAAACTACTCATAAAACCATTACATGTTTTAAGTTTAATCAATTACCTACTCGTATTTTTATAATTACATTTTATACAACATAATACAACCATTAACGAGGAAATGAAATACATTCCATTCGATTTGACTGGATCCATTAGCAAAAATGATTTTTTTATATAAAAACAACAAACAAAACCACATGCATTACATAAAATATTATTCTTAAAACAATAATTTCGAATGGAAAAAAGTAGAATTGGAATTACGTTTTCCTTGAAATCCATTAAAAAAATATATGAGTATTATAATTGTAAGTATTATGATTCATCATGAGTTAAACCGTGACATTTTATTAAAATATAATATTAGGTTAGATATGATATTTAAATGCAAAATAATTTCGTTCGTCGGTAAAATATATTACCACTCACTTTGCGAAACAACACAAAGTAATAGCTTGTGTATATTTTTAATTATTATTTATTTTTTACTTAGGAACATTTCCATAGATGTTGTTTAACGTCATCACATGATATTGACAATCTTGTCTGTATATGAACACGCAATTAAAAAAAATTAAATATTAGAAAAAAATAATAACTTTTAAAATATTTAAAAAAGCGCGGCAAATGGTTTGACAACCACTATCGTGAAAAATTTGCGTGTAGCTTTTTTTTTTTGTTTTTAGAAATTAACAAATATATTATTTATTATATGTGTAAGAAACTATGATAAATGATAAACAATTCAAACAGAAGTAAATCAATCAACGGTTGAAAAATGTTAAGTATATTGTTAACAGTTGTAAAAGTAAATGTCTAACGAAAAAGCCTAGCTATGTAAAAATATAAACTAGTGAATTGAATAAAAAAATAATGAAGGAATTAGAATATTATTAAAAACGGCTCATGTTCTAATTCTATTTTTATTGACTATTTAGTTTAGGCTAATTATTTGTTAAGATTAGTTACAGTTGAGGCTTTTTGGATAACGTATTTTCTAACCAATGCTTAAGCACAAATATTTAAAAATACAAAATTCAATGTCTTTTACTTTTAATTTGGATCCTATAGTAACTTTTTACGATGTCTAATACAGACTAATACAGAGTTGAGGTTTTTTGAAAAAAACTTGCTAGCTTATGATACCAAGACCGGACAACACAGTGGTATATTAAATCGTCTAGATATTAATTGAGACACAATTTAAAGTCGTCCATTTTGTAATTGGATTTGTTATTTTTCTTTGTTCCTAAACAAATGGTAATTGTATGATTACACGTCACATAATATCTAACGGCTTAGATTTGACGAACGGCGCGTTGTGAGTAGCTTAAGGCAATCAATTTATATGTAGGTGTCGTCGATAAGCGATCGAAAGCGTCTACTTCATCTTTGTATACTACTAATGGCTATATACGAGTTATAATGTAGTAAAGCTTTTAAGTTATACTAGTAAATAATTTATTTTTACTTTTTTTGGAAAAATAGTTTGTAGTAAAAATGTACAATAAATATTAACCCCGGTTTTAATTAGGTCATAGATACAGAGTGACCACGAAAACACTTAACATTTTCAAAAAGGCAAAATAGTATTAATATTTTTTAAAAAAAACCAGTACAGTGGGGTCGGGGTATAGTGGGGACGGAGCATAGTTGAGTCGGGGCATAGTGGTGGGGACGGGGAGGTCACAGGTTTACAGGAATTTTTAAATCTGAAAGTGATAAAATCACTTTCGAAAAAACGCTTCGATGCAAATCGGTAGTTAGTATTTTCAAGCCAGTACAGTCCAAACCAAGTAAAGCAGTAAAGTAAGAAAGTTTTAAATTAAGGTTCTGTATTTACAAATGAGCATCAAAGCGTTTATTTGAAAGTGATTTTATTCAATTTTATCACTTTCATTTATAATAATTCCTGTAGACCTGTGACCTCTCCGTTTCCTCATTGCTATGATAACATTATGCCTATACTCTACTGTACTAGTCATCTCGGATAAAACTATATTCACCATATAATATGTGCTATACAAAATGTTACGCACAAAATAATATTATATATAAATCATTTATACTAATTGTAATATTACAAAAATCTCTACACTATCTCTACAAAGTCTATACATGTTAAGCCTATAATTTTCGATAGTAATATAATATTGATATTGTCTACAAAAAGTTTAGTCATGTTTGTCTTGTAAATCTATTGTGGTTTATCGTAACATACAAGTTGACACCATATTTTACACTAGTCTACGTATGTAAAGGTGTATATTATACCAAAGTATTATTATGTACTCAATTGTCAAGAACAAATAAAGAAACAAAAAAACACGGTACCGCCTAGACTACCTACAAAAGCTATGCATGTGAGCACCAAGAAATAATATGTTTTAAAATTGTATTACAATTGATCTAATTTTAAAGGAATAACATATCGTAATATCGTGTGGGCTTTTTTTTATCTGTATACACTGTAACTTAAAAACGCGTATGGTTTTTTTTTTGTTTTTTTCAAATTTCGTCTGTGAAGAAGTAAACTTTTTCAACTTTTACCTCCCCCAAAGTACCAACTAGATAAAATTTGTGATTTACA